GTCCCACCTGTCCGTCTGGTCACTATGGGGAGCAGGGCCTTCAGTCGCTCTGCTCCCCAGCTCTGGAACTCACTCCCTCCTGACCTCCATAACATTGACTCCCTCACTCTCTTTAAAACCAGACTCAAGACCCACCTGTTCCGTCCAGCATTACAATAATTACTCTCTTTGCTCCAATCTGTCTGTTTTATGCTGTTCTATCTTTTATTGTTGTGTATTTTATCTCTGTCTGTAAAGTGTCCTTGAGTGTTTAGAAAGGCGCTGTTGAAATAAAATGTATTATTATTATTATTATTATTATTATTATTATTATTAGTATTACCTTGGCCCCCAAAATGTCTTGAGACGGCCCTGGGTGTGTGACTGAGATTTGAAGGTGATCTGAATTGTATCAGATGTATAAATATTACACGTGTATAACTTCTTGTTTTATACAGGTAAAAACGTGTAGTGAAGATAAATCTACCTACATTTTACTTTGTTTTCTTGTTTTTATTGAACTATTTCCTGTCCTGTCTGTCTCTCATCTTCCTGCATCTCCTCTAAACTCTCCAGAAAAACTGCTGCCTGGGTTCTTACTTTTTCACCTCATCAGTTACTTCTGAGCAGATCAAAGATCTCCTGACCGCAAAGCGGAGAGCACGTTTCGATGCTGCATCAGTGAGGTGAAATCACCGCAGCACACGATGAGCGGAGCGTCAGGAACGATTAAAAGACAGAGTACCAGAGGATAGAAACAGATATGAACGATCATATATCATATGAACGAGGAGGCGTTCCCCCGAACCGGTTGAAGTCCGCACCGGAAAACTCAGTGCCACCCGGCACCCCCCTTTTGTCAGGAGGGGCCCCGAGCAGGGCATCACTGCACGCACCTACACCTCCCGGGCCGGGTGGCCTTCCCGAGCCCGTGAGAGAGGTGATCGCAGCAACCACCGAGCCTCCCTCAATATCGCCACTGACCACAGGACTGCTGGAAACCGCAGGGTTTTCTGCGTCGTCGTGGTCACCTGTAAGAGAAATCACAGGAAATAGAACACAGAGGCCAGAGACAGAGTCACACCCCTGTGAAAGGAGAAAGGAATTGGCCACCGTATTAGCAGAGGTCACAAACTGAAAAGTGACAAGGTCATTCACATAAAGGTCAAGATGTCCGGGCACAAACCCCTTAAATGGCATGGTAGCTCCGTCCGGAGACCACAAGTGTTTCACGGCGGCTGACGTTTCCATCACGCCCCGATAAAGAAGCTGGCTTGTGCATGAGGCGGACTGACGAGTAAAGCAGACCTCTGACTGAAGCGGTGGATCACAGCCTGAAGATTTCACACCCATGCTGGAGAGACGGTCAGCCTTTAACATGGATGACAGAGAAGAAGCATCAGGAACCAAAGGGTTAAGCACAACCTGTTTGTCAGCGAGGTCAACCATAGGCTCAAGAGATTTATTCAGCTTAAAAGCAGCAGAGAAAGTGTTGTTTATTTCAAACCTTGATGTTGACGGTGGTTTTTGACCCCCTGGAAGAAATAAAAGTAAAGAAAAAGCGTTATGACTGTAAACAGCATGTTGCTTGAATTCACGTCATGAATTGCAGACCAGAACCACCTCCGACCCAGAGCAGCTGGCACCGAACCGCTGCCACTAGTCCCCACCGTGCCCAACCGGCGGCACCCGCGTAATGCGGGCCCGTTCGGGCAGGTGGAGGGACCATCGAGGCTCGGCCGGTAAGCAGTCTCCTGCGTCTTGGCATGTTCTGGAAGCAGAACGTCAGAGAACCTTACATCAGGTGTAACAGCGCAAGAAAGATTTTGTCGTGTCTCGTCCATCTCCCATTAAGTTCAGAGCAACTCGCGTTTTTACCTCCTGAGTCGACGTATGAGCTCGGTACAGATCCTTAATTCATCTCACAATCAAGGACCGTCCGTTGCACAACTTAACTTTATGACACAGGGTAAAACAAGGAGCTGTTGATAGAGAAATGAATACACACAACTTCACAAGATGGAAGAAAAAGGCATGGAACCGAGCAACGGAGGCTGTGAAAGCCGACCCTTACCGGTCCGAAACAAAAAAAAAAAAAAAAAAAACCTACGCTGCCGAGATGTTATCAGACGGACAAACGTAGCAAACTGTAGATTCTACACACCGTAGTGAATTACAAGAATCACCGCCGATGCGGGTTTTGTGAGGACACAGACTGACTGTGTCAGAAATGGTTTGACAATTTAACGGGACGCGTTCCCTATTTGTCTAACTGTGGCTCGCTAGCTTAGCTCTCCGGCTAGGTCTAGCGTTCTTTGTCTGTAGCGACCAGACTTAAATTTTCCCGATTAACAAGCAGGCATCTCGCTCCGCTTAGCTAAAACGGACTTTTTAAAGCGTGCGCAATCTGAATGCAGTAACGCGTGACGGCCATGCTTCGCCTTACGACGTTTACCTAGCAATTAAGCTACGGTAGGTGTCACCGAGCATTCCGTTTAGATTCGGCTGTGATCAGTCGCCAATGCAATGGAAATATTTTCCACAATAGCTCGCCCACAGTGTCAACACACTGAGACGAAAGGTGTCCGAGAATTTAGTTTCGGTTCGGAGAATTCAGTTTTAATGTTAGGACTGAGGATAAGCTGCTCACGGTAGCTCACCCAGCAAGCTCAGAGCGGAAATGCCGCTTTCCGACCTGAAGAGGTTAGAGACGCGGCGGCGCGTCAAAATGGACAGAATTTAGTCAAAAGCACAACTCACACGTTCGCTCCGAAGGCGAAGATGGGATAAATCAAAGTTAGGTCTGTAATTTGCGGTCAATTTGAGATCGGAGATCTTCCCCGTCAAGTTTCCACCACGACGTCTCCCGGAAGAGTGACTTCAGCGGAATAATTTCCGGTGTTTTTCAAAATAAGACATCAAAGTGAAACACAGAGAAAAGCGCTGTTTGTAGCTTTTAGATGTTAGAAATCAGATAAATCGCAGATATAGAAGTCTGGATACGCTCGCCATTAATCTAGAAGAAACTGGCTTGGCTCACCATTAATGTAGCGTAGTGGTTTTATGCTCTTTTATGAAAGAGGAACCATGCTACGTATTAATTCGGAATATTAATTTTTAATAAATCAATAACCAAATTTTATATTGTTCAGAAGACTCAAAGGTTGTTTTCATCGATAAACTGCCGATAATATCTGAGTGTCTGTGTTTCAGTTCAATGAGGAAACCAGTTTGAAGGATTAAAAGTTTTAATTCTTCAAATTAAACTAATGATTTTGAAAATTGACAAACAGGAAACAACAATCACATTGGCAACTTTGTGGGACAATCTTTAACAGTTTATATGCTGTTCTTGCTCAAATAGACCTTCTGGTGAATTGATGAAGATTGAGAATGTTGTGAGTTGTGAGAGTGATATGAGGTGAGATGGATGCGTGTGTGCATCTGATTTTGCTTCAGGAAGAAACAGGTGTCTGAGTGAAAAGTGATGGTTTGAATAAACTTAGGTCTAGTTGGAAAAGATGCATCAAACGCTAAACACCGTGTTCTGTCTCACCGAATTCTTGTGGACCCTCTTTCGGATCCGGGCCGTGGAGGATGTTGTGATTCATCCAGATGACACCGGCGGCTGACAGGAGACGTAGGTGTCGAACGGAACCGGTCCAGAGTTGCCCTCGGTACACGTTGATGGTAGAGCGTTTTGTCGACGCGCTTTCTTAAGTTAATTCACTCAGAAATCAAAAGACTCGGTAATGAGTCTGCGTTAGAAGTTGCGATTCAGCTATTCTGCCTGGCTTGGCAGGAACAGCGTGAGAGGGGGGGGGGGGGGGGGATTGAGCCCATGGGCTCCGTTCCCCTGGCGATTGTTCACACGTCCTCTCTCTTTCGTAGTCAAGCACGAACTGGAATCATAAGACCGAAACTTACCAAAAACCTTTCTCTTCTCAAAGCAAACGTGCGTCATCAAATGTGTCTGGAGTTTACTGTGAGCAGGTGTGTGTGGGTGTGTGTGAATGTTTGTGCTTGTGTGTGTGTGAAGGTCAGTAACAAACATTCTCAACATTATTTAAGAATGGATTCATTAAACCATTATAATTACCCCAAAGCATAAGAACCATTCATTTGATTAAACACATTTATAATGAGCAAAATGATAATGGTTACTTTAACATTAAAATCAAGAAACAGAAGTTTAAACTTTATGTTTTGATTTGTTATGACTACTTGTCCATGAGAACTCCTTCTTCTGGTACCGCAGGTGGCAGATGTTATGGTTTCCTCCCAGACTCGCTGGCGTTCAGGTCTTAATCTGTGGGTGAAAGTTCTCAATGACCCAGCTTTGACCCAGCTGAGTCCAACACCACCATTGTGACAGAAAAACCCATATTTCCTCACGTTACAATGTGTTAATAATGTTTTGTTGCGCCACCTTGAAAATGTATCGTGCGCCGGATGCAGCGGGCGCACCAACGATCAGCGCTCTGCGTCCTCTCCGCTCAACAGAACCCCGCTACACTGAGAGTCCATAAATATTGTAATATAGGCAGAAACGTGATCTTTTCCTGAAAGATATCTAGGCCCATAACTCAATCCCTGCTCCTGGATGAAAAACCGGACAATTTGATCATAGTAGGACCCCCCCCCCCCCCCCCCCCCCCCGGACGCCCCGGACAGAGAGGAAAGTGGACATGTGGTCACCCTTCTTTAAAACATGTAATGTCTTGAAAGAATCGGAACCAGGAATCTGAATAGTTCAAAATCAAACGATTACATTTGTTATTCGCAATTTAGGTTTCATTTTAATCGTATTTTTAAAAATGTTTTACAATTTTTAAAAATTTTTGTTCTTGTGATGTGCCTCTTGATTTTTATCTTGAGAGGCACTATACTTTCTTTCTTTCTTTCTTTCTTTCTTTCTTTCTTTCTTTCTTTCTTTCTTTCTTTCTTTCAATAACACATCTGTTATGTGTGTGATGATAAAGTTACAGTTGTCTGTAATTTACATCATGTGCTTCCTACAGATCAACAGACGGTGCTAGTCAAAGAAGAAGCTCCTGAAGAACAGCAGGACCCAGAACCCCACCAAATGAAGGAGGAACAGAAGGAGTTCTGGACCAGTCCGGAGGGAGAGCAGCTCCGTGTAAAGGAGGAGCCTGATGCTGCCAGGTTTCCATTCACTGCTGTTTCTATAAAGAGAGAGGATGATGAAGAGAAACCTCTGTTCTCCCAGCTTCTTCAGCAGCAAATGGACGATGAAGAGGTTCCAACCAGCATCTCAGCTGACCAGATGACAGAAACTAACAGAAACCCAGGTCTAAATACCCATGAACAGACATCTGGTTCTTCAGAGACTGACGATAGTGGAAATTATGAAAATGATGTGAACATTGACTCTGAGCTGTCGGAATCTGAACCTGTAACTGGAGATGGAGGCAATGACAGGAAGGATAGCGGGGCTTCTGAGTCAAGAGCAAATACATCTAGCTGCTCTGAGTGCGGTAAACAATTTCTTCACAAACGGTCTCTACAGAGGCACATGACCTGTCATGGAAGATTAGAGTCTGCTGGCTGTTTGGTTTCTAAGAAACGTTTGAAGATGAAAATCAACGTAGACCCACATAGGAACGTCCAGAAAGAGATTAAATCTTCTAGATGTGATGACGGTGGTAAAGCATTTGGCCAGAGAACTACCCGAAGCACGCACATCAGAAAGCATACAGGAGAGAAGCCACATAAATGTGAGGTGTGTGGACAAAGATTTAGTTGTAAATCATTTTTAACCAAACACACAAGAATCCATACAGAACAAAAACCATTTAAGTGTGATCTTTGTGGACTAACACTTACTCATAAATCATCTTTGAACAAACACATGAGAATCCATACAGGAGAGAAACCATATAAATGTGAGGTTTGTGGACAAAGATTTGGTCTTAAGGAAAATTTAAACAGACACCTGAATGTCCACACAGGAGATAAACCATTTCAGTGTAAGGTTTGTGGAAAAAGATTTAATCAGAAATCATTATTAAAACAACACTCAAAAGTCCATACAGGACAAAAATCATTTCGATGTGATCTTTGTGGACACAGATTTAGTCAGGGGGTACATTTAAAGCAACACATGAAAATCCACACAGGAGAGAAACCATTTGAATGTGAGGTTTGTGGACAAAAATTTAGTTGTAAATCATATTTAACCAAACACACAAAAATCCACACAGGACAAAAACCATTTGAATGTGATCTTTGCGGACTAAAACTTACTCGTAAATCATCGTTAAGCAAACACATGAGAATACATACTGGAGAGAAACCATATAAATGTGATCTTTGTGGACAAAGATTCAGTCAGACTTTTACTTTGGATTCGCACATAAAAATCCACACAGGACAGAAACCATATGAATGTGAGGTTTGTGGACAAAGATTTAGTCAGAAATCATTTTTAAGCCAGCACACTAGAGTCCACACAGGACAGAAACCCTATCAATGTCAAGTTTGTGGACACAAATTTAGTCATCATTCAAGTTTAAACTCACACTTGAGAATGCACACAGGACATAAGCCATTTATATGTGAGGTCTGTGGAAAAAGGTATACTGCAAAATCAAGTTTAAACTCACACATGAGAATCCACACAGGTGAGAAAACCATTGAATAGTATTGCAGATAGGGATGATTCGATCACGTTTGTTTGCTCCCAATCATTTACTTTTCAGGAAATCGTTAAAATAAGGAGAAAAAAGTTCAAAATAATTTTCAGAAAGCATTAAACTAAGAAAAAAATGAAATACTTTGAGAAAGCATTAAAGTGACAGTGTGTAGTTTGGTGATGGGGGCAGTTCATACATTTAAGGGTAGTTTTACCCCTTGTTGCTACTGTCGCTAGTTTTAAAAAAACATTAAAGGTAAATGTTTTTACCTTCTGAGCAGAAAGCATGCTGCCTCGGACTCCACGGGCTTTGATGATCCTTCAGTTAATTCCATTAAAGAATGCAATGCCGATGCTAGTTTTCTGGTGGAGTAGGTTCCAGATCTGCTCGGGGTTCTGAGCCTGTTGATGTGAAACTATGGCAATACCACTGGGCCACAATATATAGCATCTCTTTTTTAATTCTGTTCTCTCACGTAGGTTTTGGAAAGAGTTTAGCAGTTTTGTTAATAAATTCACGCTCCTTACTGCCTAAATATTTTCTTGATAACTGTAATTTGTTAATAAAACACATTGTCTTGTGAAACTACACAAAACCAACACCAGACTGTGCCAGAAAGCACAACAGTTTTTATATGTGAACATGGGGTGGGTACTTGTCTTTATATGCTTAAGTGGACATTTCCAAATTGTGGGGAGATCTGGCTGGTCCACACAGTGACAAAATACCCGTAAACATGGTTTTAGAGGTATGGTTTGAATTAACTTTTGGTTTAGCTTAGGGTTGTCACGGTGTGAAAATGTAACCTCACGGTTATTGTGACCAAAATTATCACGGTTTTCGGTATTATCCCGGTATTTTTTTTAACGTGCTACATTTTCACACAATTAAATAAACCCTGTATGTCCTCATTGTCTAAATTTAGCCTAAAATGTGTTATTTTGTAATCATGTTGTTTATTTGTTTACATTTTTCCCCTTTAGTCTTTAAAATACCAATGGAAGGTCTACACAAGGATACAGAGACAAGTGTGTATGTGTGTGTGTGTGTGTGTGCTCTGTCTTCTCCATCCCCAGTGAGTCATGGTGGATGGCTGCTTATACTGAGCCAGGATCCTCTGGAGGTTTCTTCTTGTTAAAGGGAGTTTTCCTCTCCACCGTCGCTGCATGCTTTCTTAGTATGAGGATTGCTGTAACAATTCAATGGGTTCCTTATATAGAAAACTTTTTACTGATTGACCTAATGAACTGAACTGTATTGGAATGTTTACTTTGTGAAATGCCTTGAGATGACTGGTCATCATTTGGCACTATGTAAAGAAAACTGGATTGGAGTTCTTCTGTATATTTTGTTAGTGTTTATGTAAATCAATATATTCATTCATTAAAATGTTGGGTACTCTGTTCAATAACGTTCTTTTAAATTTCACCTAATTTCATAAAAATATGAGCTGCTCGGGGTTTCCTTTTTTCATTTGATATTTTTGCTTTATTTTACATTTTCTTTGGCAAACATACCCCCCCCCCCCCCCCCATTTTGGGGGGACTACAGGACTACAGCTACAAAGGCTGCAATTGCAAATTTGTCCAAACCAGTCAAAGTCTTCTGTGTCATCATGCTAACAGAACTTCTGTAAGTCGCTCATCCAGCCAATCCTCTTGTGCAACTTCATCGGCAGGCACTGGCTCATGTGAAATATGGCGTCCCCAGAGACTTAGACCTGTGCCTTATGCATTTTTGACTCAATTTTTTATGGTTATATGTTACAATGCCATCAATATTCTTTAACATTAAAAAAAAAAAAAGTTAACCCGATCTTTTTTTTTTACCCGATTCTGATCTTTTCAACTACGTGATCTGGCTAGGTTTCTGATCACATGATATGCGGACTAATGTCAAGTCAAATGGCACATTTAAACAGACACAAGAATCCACAATGGAGGGAAAATACTTTAGCAGTTTACAGTTAAAAATGCCTTAAAGGACACTATTATTAGGATGAATCCACCTGTGGTTTCTGACATCATCCTACTTCACTTTACGATACAAAACACCTTTATAGGGAGCCTAAGTCACTTCCACATCATGGGTCCCCGGAAGAACAAAAAAATGAATGCAAGTCAATGGGGCTAAAAACGCTATTTTCTAATCTGCCTTACGCCCTGGATTGCACATAAAATCTGAGGAATACCAAAAGCGGCTGCAGTGTATTCAAAAGTGTTAAAATTATCAAATAAAACAGGTTTTGCTAAAAGTATTGATGAACTTATAAAAGCAGCCCCGCCTCCCCTTTTCCCGTTCCTCGTAGAAAAATTGAAATTAAAATCAGGTGGGGAGGCATCTGTGAAAACAACAAGGGCATCTGAATTCAGCCATGTTTCAGTTTCAGTTAAAAATAAACACTGAAGATTAAAATCTAAAATCAGGTCATTTATAATAAAAGTTTTGTTCAGCAGAGAGCGAACATTAAAAAGAGCCACATTAACAGATGCTGGAGGTAGAGTGGCTGTGCGATTTACTGAACTTGAGGTTTTTGTTAGCTGTTTAAGGTTATTGAAGTTGGGTTTGCTAGATTTATGTTGGATTGGTCGCTCTCTGCTGATAATGACAGGTATGTGGTTGGTTTGGCAGGGTCCAAGTCTGATATGCGAGTTACTGTTAAAAACAAGGCTGGGTTTGTACCGTATTTTCCCCAGTATAAGTCGCACCAGCCATAAAATGTATAATGAAGAAGAAAAAAACATATAAAAGTCGCACTGGACTATAAGTCACATTTTGGGGGGAAATTTTATTATTTTTCTTACAAAATCTGAGACCAAGCATTTCACATTGCAAGACAAGTACCGTTAACAATAACAGAATAAACAACGCGGGCGCAGCAGTGCACCACGGTCTCCAGCAGAGGATGGCGGTGTTTGAAACCCTCCCTGCGGGACAGGGGAGCTCATTCCTGGGTCGGAGCTGCCCGGCCCGCAGCAGCTTGCCACAGGCTCCAGCAGGTGATGGTGGGGCAGAGGAGCTTATTCCTGGTCTGGAGCCGGTCCGCAGCAGCGCGGTATACATAATTTGGTATATAAGTCGCTCCGGAGTATATGTCGCAGGACCAGCCAGATGAATAAAATCCCGTTTGAGCAGTTCTGACTGTTGTTTGTGGATCTCGTTGGTGCCTGCGTGAATAACTTTACTCACGGTGGAGTGTTGTTGAATGATGTCCGTGATCTGATCCGTGATGTCTGACACTGTTGCTCTGGAAAACAGAGTGCGGCCCCCTTTCATTTGCACATTCCTGATGATGGCTGCTTCAGGGTTTCTGCAGAAATCAGCTAAACAAATTTAATGCTTTTTAATGCCATTTTAATGCCATTTTTAACCTTTTTAATGCCATAAACAAACACACGTGAGAATCCACGGATATATATGTACATAAAAAAATCCTCTGAGAACTCAATGGATTATAATGTACCCTGAGATAAACAACAACAACAAAAAACGTATGCCTGGAACATAGCACATACATAGTTGCATGGAATGTTACATGTTATTGAACATGCTACAGCATTTTTTTCACACACAACAGGATTAATGCATGTGCCTTAGCTCACTAGTTTTTGATTCCAGCTCTGACTCAACATTTGTCAGTTCACTGCATTTGTCCCTGTATCTCTTCCTTAGAGTATTAGATTTTGTTATCATTTGAGCCATGAGCGTGCTCGGTTTGTTTTCTGCCTGTTCAGCTAGTTGATCAGCATCTTTCTGAAGGCTGACACACACCACCCTTAATATCTCCTTTTTCTTTTTCAGCTGTTCTAGCTCATCTTCCAATGCTTTTCTCTTAAGTCCACACCTGGCACCCTCTCTCTTTAACATACTCTCTTTAAGTTTTGGGCATACTTCAGTAGCTCTCTCTCCAACAGGAAGATGTTCCACCCATGTGTGTCCACAGAATGGGAGTGGAAAAAGAGATGAGCCTGTAAGTTTTGTAAAATCTTCTCTTCTTGCAGGGACATTGTGAAAAAGAAAGTGCATTGCTCTTAACAGTTTCTCAATATTCCATGTGGAGAAGCCAGTCTTGAATGAATTGTGCGGAGTGTGCAGTCCACAGCTTCCAACATTAATTAATTGGCGGCCTCCATGTAGTTCAGCATGCTCTTGCTGGAAATCATTTAAAAACTTCAAGTTCACATTTGGCCCATCCATACTGATCGAAAGGAGGTTCTTCATGTCTAGCAGACACACACAATCCTATGAATACAAAAAAATTAATTTAATTATTTGATATGAAAAAGAAAACCTGAAAACACCAACATGTTTGATTTGAAATGTGCTTATAGTAATTTCAAAATTAGCTTATTAAAACGATCTAAAAGCAAAAAAACTCAACAAAATGAACACATCTTGTCTCTTTAATTCATTGGAATACCACTTCTTAAACAAAAAGTACAAATATACTCACTTTGAAATGGTGCAGCAAATCTTTAGCCTTTGAATGGCCCATAAACTGTGATCCAAGATAACGTGACTGGACAGCACCAGCCTCCCAAAATCGAATATGGACGTCTAGTTGTTTATTGTTTGTGGACTGGTTGAAGCTTTCATCAAACATCAGCACGAATGGTCCAGCGTTGGTAGCTGCAGAAATCAGTTCTTTTTTGACATGTGGGGCGAGTCCAAACTTTAAAACGTAGCTTGTCTTGTCCTTTCCACAGGTGAAAGATTTAGCCATTTCAGAATCCGAAAACATTGCCTGGAACAACTCTGAAACACCTTCATTGGATGCGTAGGAGTGGTGCTGCACGGCAGTGTACAGACACCAGAGCACCTCTGCCTGAAGCACCGCAGGTGATCCAAACAATTTTTGAAGCGTGCTTGATGTTCCGACGGCAGGGTTCACAGCTGCAGTTGTGCTGCTTGTTGTGGTCGTGGTAGTTGCAGAAGATGTCGCGTTGCTAGTTACAGAAAAGTAACTAGTCACGGTTAGCTGCTGTCTGCCTTTTACGGCTGCTTTGTGGTTGTCCGACTGCATGTGCGATTTCACAGCGTTCACACCCATTGTACCAAGTTTAATACAACCAGCTCAGTGGCCTAGTGGTAGAGTGTTCGTCCTGAGACTGGGAGATTAGGGTTCGATTCCTGGTCGGGTCATACCAAAGAAATGAAAAAATGGGACCCAATGCCTCCCTGCTTGACACTCAGCATTAAGGGGTTGGATTGGGGGGTTAAACCACCAAAAACCCGAGTGCGGCTGTGTCTGCAGCTCACCGCTCCCCCAGGGGATGGGTCAAATGCGGAGAACAAATTTCTCACACACATCAGTGTGTGTGACAACTAATGGAACTTTAACTTTAAATTTTTTTTTTTTTACAAACAGTACAAAATCCTTCTCCATCTTGACCATTAACGGGCTGCAGCCATACCTTGAATTTATCGTTTTCCAACCACTTTTGCTGGAATTTGCATTTCCCCATTTTCCAAACGTTTACTCCACACGATCCAGCTTCTTGTCGAACATCCGGTTTTACGACAATTCAACAAGAAACCGGTCGGAACAGAAGTAATAATCGAAATGGTTCCGCCAGCGTGTTGACTCAAACAAACGTTTCATACAATTTCACAACAAATTACAATAAAGACAAAAAATGTTAAATTATTTAAGAATATTTCTTGAAAAAATTTAATGCCACTGACAATCTAATTTAATGCTTTTTAATGCCATTTAAGGCCTTAATTTTAGAAAATTTCATTTAATGACTTTTAATGCTTTTTAATGCCCCGCATAAACCCTGTGCCTGTTCAGGCTGGGGCTTTGCAGGGGATCCCTTGCTGTCCAAGACTGGCTGGATGGTGAAAGCCTCTCCAGGGCTGCCATGGTGGTTTGTTTGTGCCGAGAGCTTGCTCAGTGGATTCGGGGTATAATGTGCCGCCCCTCAGCGCAGGGCAGCCTAGGGAACGGCGCGACATGGATGGCTGCTGGACGTCAACTGATGCTCTGGCGGCTGGGAGGGATTCCCTGGGTTGAGAGCTGATCCTGCGAGGCTATGGTGGCCAGGTGCTGGCAGTGGAGGGAAGTCCTGGTCCAAGGCGCCGAACCGGTTGGGGAGAGGAAGCGCAGATGAAGGGGAGCAGCGACAGCCAGGGCCGATCGTGGTCCAGGCATCCCGCGGAAGCAGCGTGGAGCTGCGGGGGCTTTCGGCTTAGCCCCCAGATGTAGCCAGTGGTCTTCCACTGCAGCAGGTGTAGCCTCAAGTGCCCCAACCCTGCGAGGAGACCCGGTGGATCCATTCGCCTCCACAGCCTCGTAGGGCTGGCAGGGGATGGTGTCGGCCAGCTCCGCACTTCCAGCAGCGGCGAAGGTCCAGCCGAAGATGAAGTCCATGTCGTGCTCGTGATCTTGGATCTGGTGAAGTGTAGAGATCCTCTGCTCTAGCTCCGAGATCTTCTGGCTGAGCCTCAGGCAGCCACCACACCCGAAAGCACAGGGAGGAGCCGTCATGATGGGAAGAAAGGAGACGTAGATAAAAACAAGTTGTTAAAAAGTTGGTGATGCTAAAATCGGTTAAAAACCAGTTTAAAAACTGTTTTTAAAAGGCAATAAAACCAGTTAAAACCGTGTTTTTGTAAAAGACTTAGAGACGCTGACAAACAGAGCTGCTTCACTCAACAGGTGGGCGTGACTCCAGATTCTAGGGGTGGAGGGTGTTCTGTTTTGCCTTGGCCCCCAAAATGCCTTGAAACGGCCCTGGGTGTGTGACTGAATTTTGAAGGTGATCTGAATTGTATCAGATGTATAAATATGACATGTGTGTACAGGGGCGTCGGACTGGGGGGGGAAAGGGTACCGTTTACCCAGGGCCCACTGCAGGGAGGGGCCCTGAGACAGCTTTGAATAAAAATGTTTTATTGTTGTTGTTTTTTCCCCCAAACTTACTTAATGTCTTAATAAACTTCCCTTTACCTGGATAAAGAGGTTAAGAAACAGAATTTTGCCTTAAAAATAATAACTGAATAATCTCTGAGGCATCTATCACCCCTTAAAAATGTGCAAAGTGGTTTAGTCCACACCTGCGGCCAGGGGCTGCACGGCAGCATGTACAGCTATGAGACATCGCAGATGCCGACAGCCAGAGCTGGAGGCAGGAGAGTCAGTCATGTCTTTTCCCAAGAAAGGGAAATCTGGCTTCCAGAAAAGAAAAGAAAAGAAGGAGAAAAAGTTAATTGAACAGAAGCAAGTATTGACTAGGGTTTTCAAGAAGGAAGGTGAGCAGCAGCAGAACACAGTTTTAGCTAGCTCTCAGAAGCTGCATTCATGTTAGGTGTTCAGTGTTAAACGCCTTTAGTTTCACCATCAAGATCAAATATAAATTAATTAGTGTTATCAGTGAAAACACTAATTAATATATATATAGTAATCAGAATTATTATCGCGGGCGGCCGCCGCCAATTAATTTGCGGACCTCGCAGTAAAAACAGGTTCACTCTGTGTGGATATTTCAGCTCCTTCCCAGTCATGGACCAGGACAAACTTGGTATCGATGGATTCGTGGTAATCTCAGGAATGTGAAGCTGCCACTGTTTTTCGTATAGTACGATGACACTGGTGTTAGAGGATTGTTATTGACTTGGTTAGATATTTTAAGCCTATTTTAAATTTCTTTATATTTGATCTTGAAAATGGACAATCTTATAATTTGGCTGATAATGCAGCGATTATAAAATTTAGAGTACATTACATTCACAGAGAGAACCTGGTTTATTTCATGTCATATGTATTTAATATATCAATATATATCAGTATTAGCAAAGCTTAAGATCATGAACCATGACAGACATGACTGAAGAGCAGATGAAGATATCATGCCAGGCACTGATGAGAAAACATTACAAGGATCTCACAGCTGAATTTGAGAATGAGATGCTACACCTGAGAACAACATATGGTGCCACATTTCCACACATTCGGTCTCCTCTTGAGCTGCTTAATGCCATCTACAGGATGCAATTACAGAGCATTGTTGGAGAAGTTTGTATTGGACTGAGGATATTGTGCACACTACCTGTGACTGTTGCTGGGGGTGAACGGGCTTTTAGCAAACTGAAACTGGTGAAAAATGATTTGAGATCAACAATGTCCCAGGATAGACTGAACAGCCTAGCTCTTCTTTCTATTGAAAGCCAATTAGCCAAAGGACTGGACTTTAAAGATCTCATAAGTGATTTTGCTAACATGAAGACCCGTCAGTGGGCATTTACTGGAAAATAAATTCCAGGATTTTTGTTTGAACACATTGTTGGTAATTAAAATAATTATATGTGAAGTCTGGGCATTTCACTTTTATTATGCTGGCATTTGTATTTGCTCAATATAGAGGTTAAACTAAGATCATATTTATTATCTTGTCTTATAGCATGACAAAAAATGTGTAAGAGAGATATTAAGTAATTGAGCATGGGGGCCCACCTAGAAGACTTGTACCTAGGGCTCAGAATTTGGTGCTACGCCCCTGTGTGTGTAACTCAGGGGTTCCCAAAGTGTGGATTCCCCTGGGGGTGTGCGAGCTGCCGCTAGGGGGTGCGCGATGTGAAAAGTGTAATGGCTGCAGAGCTCAAAGAAGTCTGCCATATGTCACCATTAGCGTAGCCAGAAACTCATTTGTGGGTGGGCCTAAGAAAATGTAAGTGGGCCCAATAAATGCAATTGAAAACAAGTATATTTTGCTTGTGTGTGTGTGTGTGTGTGTGTGTGTGTGTGTGTGTGTGTGCGTGCTCTGTCTTCTCCATTCCCAGTGAGTCGTGGAGGATGGCTGCTTATACTGAGCCAGGATCCTCTGGAGGTTTCTTCCTGTTAAAAGGGAGTTTTCCTCTCCACTGTCGCTGCATGCTTGCTTAGTATGAGGATTGCTGTAAAGTCACTGACACTAGTCAGTGACTCGATGCAACCTGCTGGGTTCCTTATATAGGAAACATTTTTTCTGACTGGCTTAATGACCTGACCTGGATTGGAATGTTTACTGTGTGAACTGCATTGAGACGACTCTTGTCGTGATTTGGCGCTTTATAAGTAAACTTGAATATCTGTGTAAACATGGGTCCACGAGCCGACCGGAAGAGGAGGAGACTGAACGTTGCGCCTGTCAGAAATGCGGAACTTACACCTACCGGTATCTGAATCCTGAGGTGGAGAGAAAGCCTCTGGAATCGAACTGGGAATGGACCACTGCCCTCCGGAACAACCGCTGTTTACGTTCGGTGTGATAGCGGACGTCCAGTACGCTGATGTCGATGACGGATACAATTACAGTCGCACACGGAAACGTTACTACAGGAGCAGCCTGGAACTGCTGAGAAAGGCCCAGAAACGGTGGTCCGAGTCGGCTGCGAAGCCCGAGTTTATCCTCCAGCTCGGAGACATCATCGACGGCCTTAATAAGAGCCGCGGCGCGTCGGAGCTGGCGCTGAACACGGTGCTGCGAGAGTTCGGCTCCAGTCCCGGGGAGGTCCATCATGTCTGGGGTAACCATGAGTTTTATAACTTCAGCCGGAGCGCGCTGCTGAGTTCACGGCTCAACAGCAGCTCGCTCGCCGACTGCAGTCCCACCGGAACCCCGGCCCGGCCCGACATCTACGCCTACCAGTTCTGTCCGTTTCCCGGGTTCAGGTTTGTGGTAATGGACGCTTATGACATCAGCCTGCTGGGCAGGCCAGAGTCCACCGAACAGTACCGCAGCGCCCTGGATCAGTTAAAACTCTACAACAACAACGAGGACCTCAACTGTCCACCAGGTACGTCCTCTACCTTATTATTCTAATGGACGCCCACGCTCGTTCGTGAGGGGCGTTGGGGGCCTGTCCTCCCTAAAATGAAGGGGGTGAAATAATATACATGCAAACACACACACACACACACACACACACACACACACACACACACACACACACACACACACACACACACACACACACACACACACACACACACACACACACACACATATATATATATATATATATATATATATATATATATATATACATATAACCTGCATTATGGTGCATTTACACAGGTGTTATACACCTGTTTTACCTACAGTAGTAAAACCGTAACTCAATAAAAGCTCCAGTGCTTAATATTCACCAATATATGCAAATTCAGCATAAAAATCAAACAAAGCTCATTTCATGAAGTTAAAAGCATTAGCTCAGTATTACCTGGGTTGGTTTAAGGTTGTAATAACCCATGTTATAGTAAACAAATTCCACTTTTTATAGGAGCGTGCTCTAAAGTCTCTGATACCACATTCCATCATTTTCTGGTTCTTCGTAACAGGGCCGTTGCTAGCTATTTTGGTGCCCTAAGCACAAAGGCATCGTGGTGCCCCCCCAGCAGAAAAAACAACACAATAACACAGTATGTGGAAGCACTTCGCCTTAAATTCTCTTTAATTCTCTTGTATGCACAAACTGCTTATTATTTCCAAAAAGTAGGATTGATATTTACATAATATCACATACACAACACAGGAACTCCATATTGTTATTATTTAGAACTATGTAACAGGTCCACACACCACAAGCACCGGTTGTGGCACGTGTTTCTCCAATGTTATTTTCAGATGCTTTTTCAGACCCAGGACTCACTCTGCCTTCAGAAGTGCTGGCTGTGGGCTGTGCTCGGTCTGCAGGTGTGCTTTACTTTGTAATTCCTGGTCAGGGCTGGCTGTTGTTGTAGAAGGTTCAGACGTGATGGCTCTTGAACTGCTGGTGGAGGGCTGATCTGAACTTTTGGCGTGAGCTCCTCCTTGAATGTACTTGTTCATTGAGCCTGCATTCAGACACAAAAAGATAATTTGTCATATTCACTCTATAATAAGATAAAAGTTTTAAACCATGGTAAAAAATACTGCAATAGATTATTTATAGGTTTATATTGGCTTATAAATCACTGGCATGTGACATGACTAAACTCAAAACTACTTAACCTTTATTAAGAACTAGAGAGGCACAATACACACATTTTATACACAACTAGAAAATTCTGAATATGAAGGGAGGAGGTTAGCATAACGGACTTTTTTCTTCAAATTATACCATCAGCAGCTGATGTTCCTCTTGGCCCGTAAATGTTTATGAAATATATAATCAACATAGAGCAAATACCTAATTTGAAAATAGGTTAGTCTAATTTTTCATATTAAATCTCAGTTACATAGCCTATAGGCCACATAGGCTATTTAATAATGATATAAATCATGTCCATAGTTGACTCATGATTAATCACAAACAGCTGCTTATTTAAAAATAAAACTTCTTACTTTACCTTGACGGTGTTTTTGTCCTTCCTGTTTTTGTGATATTTAAGTATTTGGGTAGGGATGCACCGATGGATCGGCATTTGATCGTAATCGGCCGATAGCGCCCCTATCGGTTTTGATCGAGTTTTCAAAATAGATCAAAGCAGACCGATCAGGTAGGGTTGTCATGGTAACCGGTGTAGCGGTAAACCCCGGTAAAATAAAAGCTGACAATAATAATAACCGTCTTGTTTTTAAAAAAAACTATATTATCTTGGTGGATTACCGTGGCTGCGGTGAAGGCGCGGTGACCCTTACCAGCCACCGTATCATCTGCTGAAGCTGCCGGCGGCACATGCACGCTTTGTTGTTTACAACCAAAACTTTCTTGAAGCTAAAGCTGAAATAATGACCAAAGGAGGAGACGGCAGCGCTCAGGAGGACATTTATTATCCCTCAAAGAAGACAAAGTGGGAAGTACGGGCATGTTTTGGATATTTGAAGAATGCCGAGGGACAGCTGATAGAAGACGGCTATCCTGTTTGCAGCACGAGCAGAAAAAGTGTCTGTGAAAGGCAGCAACGCTTCAAATCTCATGACACATCTGCGTGACCATCACCCACAACTCTACAGTCAACGCAAGGCAAGCTAACGTTAGCATTTTAGCTAAAATGCGTGATCCGAGGATTTGGGTTGAGGGAGAACGCAACGAGTCGCTATATAAAGCAGCCGCAGCGCCGCAACCTGCATATAAACCGTGTCGCGGACACCGCCATGTTGAAATGACGCTATGCATTACGGGGCTCCCAGGGGCAGATAAGAGTTGGTCTCTCTCCGAGAATAATTATGAATTTAACAATGATTACTGCCTGATGACATTTTCCCACATCTGCAAAGCTCACTGGAAGGACACAAACCGAGGACGATATTTTCCTGATATAGGGATTATTACTCAAGTAAGGGTACAAAAGTATCTGATTAGAAGGCTACTTGAGTACTGAGTATCATCTGATCTAATATTTTTAAAATGATGACATCAAACAGACATAAAATAAGAAGTTATGGGCAAATATTGGTATTTTAAAGACTAAAGGGGAAAAATGTAAACAAGTAAACAACATAATTACAAAATAACAAATTTTAGGCAAAATTTAGACACAAACTGAGGACAATATTTCCTGACATACAGGGTTTATTTAATTGTGTGAAAATGTAGCACGTTTAAAAAAAACACGATAATACCGAAAACCGTGATAATTTTGGTCACAATAACCGTGAGGTTAAATTTTCACACCGTGACAACCTTAATACAGACCATTTTAGATTAGGTTACATTTCCTTTATTCCCAGATTATGTAGTTTGTAGCACTCATTATAATGTTGTAGAAAATTTCTGGCCAATCCACGTGATCGGTATCGGTGATCGGTATCACTGATCAGCATTCTTTGATATCGGTATCGGTGATCGGTATCACTGATCAGCATTCTTTGATATCGGTATCGGTGATCGGCAGCAAAAAACCTGATCGGTGCATCCCTAGATTGTACCAGCAATCTTATTTTGTTGCCTCAGCTTGGGGTCATGCTGTAGCCATGTTGCTGCACACTGATGCTGAAAGTCAAGCTGGGAGTCAGGTATGGAAATGTGGAGCAGGCTGTCAGCGCGCTGCTGAGAGGAACGGAGCTGAGATGAGGATCCAACGCGGAGCAGGAAAACAGGCAGACAGGTGAGCACATTCAAAGGGTTTTAATACTGAAGCACGCTGGACAATGAAACAATGATCCGACCCAGTACAAAGAACAGACAGGGTTTAAATACAGGAGGGTTGGGAGCTAAGGTGATTGGGAAACGAGAGGCAGGTGGGAGTAATCAACGAGACACAAGGCTGAACTAAACGGGGAGACATGACCGGGTGTGACAGTTGTGACAGTACCCCCTCCTCAAGGGGCGGATCCCAGACGCCCACAGGAACGAGGAGCAGGGTGGGAGGAGGCGAACCAGGAGGAAGGGCCCAGAGGAACAGAGGGACCAGCAGAGGGGCAGAGGAGGAGGCGACGACAGGCTCTTGGAGGCTGGCGTCTGAGGCAGAGGAGGAGACGACGAGCTCTGGGGGCCGGCGTCTGAGGCAGAGGAGGAGACGACGGGCCCTTGGAGGCCGGAGCCTGCGGCAGATGAGGAGGCGACGGGCCCTTGGAGGCCGGCGCCTGCGGCAGATGAGGAGGCGACGGGCCCTTGGAGGCCGGCGCCTGCGGCAGATGAGGAGGCGACGGGGCCTTGGAGGCCGGCGCCTGCGGCAGATGAGGAGGCGACGGGCCCTTCGAGGCCGGCGCCTGCGGCAGAAGAGGAGCTCTGCAGGTTGGGCCGGCGACAAAGTCACTGCAGGCTGGACCGGCGACAAAGTCACTGCAGGCTGGGCCGGCGACAAAGTCACTGCAGGCTGGGCCGGCGACAAAGTCACTGCAGGCTGGGCCGGCGACAAAGTCACTGCAGGCTGGGTCGGCGACAAAGTCACTGCAGGCTGGGTCGGCGACAAAGTCACTGCAGGCTGGGTCGGCGACAAAGTCACTGCAGGCTGGGCCGGCGTTGCCCTCAAAACCACCATCGGAACCGGAGACCGTGGAGACGCCGGGCTGGATGGAGCGTCGGCCTCTTGAGTGCAAAGAGCATCCCCAGACGAGGCAGCGGCGATGTCATCGGACGAGCCGACTTCAGAGGACGAGGCAGCGGCGATGTCATCAGACGAGCCGACTTCGGGGACGTCATCAGAGGAGGCGGCGACGTCGTCAGACGTGGTGGCGACGTCATCAGAGGAGGCGGCGACGTCATCAGACGGGACGTCATCAGAGGAGGAGGCGACGTCATCAGACGGGACGTCATCGGACGTGGCGGCGACGTCATCAGACGGGACGTCATCAGACGGGACGTCATCAGAGGAGGAGGCGACGTCATCAGACGGGACGTCATCAGAGGAGGAGGCGACGTCATCAGAGGAGGAGGCGACGTCATCAGACGGGACGTCATCAGAGGAGGAGGCGACGTCATCAGAGGAGGAGGCGACGACTTCGGACACGTCGTCATCAGAGGAGGAGGCGACGACTTCGGACACGTCGTCATCAGGGGCGACGACTTCGGACACGTCGTCATCAGGGGCGATGACTTCGGACACGTCGTCATCAGGGGCGACGACTTCGGACACGTCGTCATCAGGGGCGACGACTTCGGACACGTCGTCATCAGGGGCGACGACTTCGGACACGTCGTCATCAGGGGCGACGACTTCGGACACGTCGTCATCAGAGGCGTCGACTTCTGGACAGGCGACGTCATCAGAGGCGTCGACTTCAGAATACGAGGAAGAGGCGTCGACTTCAGAACACGAGGAAGAGGCGTCGACTTCAGAACACGAGGAAGAGGCGTCGGCCACAGGACTGGCAGGGGCGTCGGCCACAGGACTGGCAGGGGCGTCGGCCACAGGACTGGCAGGGGCGTCG